AATTCTGGAAGGGAAACAAAGAAAGGTACGCTACAACAGAGGGATGATTCTAGTATCTACGGACCCCATTTACCTTGGCCGCGATGCCGACCAATACGAGCCATTTGCAATCGGCATCTGCACGATAGTTGATGATCTGACTACCAGCTAAGGATTGATGTCTATCAAACATTTTCATGGGGGCAGCATCGCCTACAATATGAAACCACAATCCCAGCGAAAAAAAAAGAGCAAAAAGGCCAGGAAAACCAGAATTACCTTCAATTGACCAGTGGTAAACAGCAGTTTCGCTGACAAGAGCGATTGTCTTCTCATTGATCCACTTCCAAAATATGATATCTTCGGCATTTTGGTGAGCCTTCACCTTCGCTTTCAGCTCGATGTTGAAGATTTGAAGCGTTTTACCCGCTTAACAAATGAAATTTTTGGATAAATTCAGAAATCAGAGATCAAGAAATTTACTAATAATCTGAACTCCGGAGCTTTTTCTATGAGGCTGGTGGGATTTGAATGCAACTTAATTATTAAACGTGTAAACCACTACTATATCCCGGCAGTCGCCATCCACACTCCCAACTCCAAAATATTTCCATTCAGGATTGCTCACAGGCGGATCGATGACTAAGAAACGGCTGCGCGTTCGTCGGACACAGGATCTCCTGACGACGCGTCGACCGGTTTTGAAGCAATGAACAGGAATTGACCAGGGACTTCAAGAATCAGCATTTCTTTCCTTCAACCAAAAAGGGGCTAATGAATTCCTTCTCCAAAAAATGTATGCAGTTTGAGAATATCATAGAATACCAGACGAAGTATAAAATAATCTGTAATTTGCATAAAACGGATAATTCGCATATGAACATATGACGCAAAGTACTGCAATTTTTCAATCAGTCATTCTTCGCTCTTTGATTGCAGCACACTGAAGGCCACTATAGCACTTGAATCACTGGGTTTTTTTTTTGAGCGATGAACCCATCGCCTAGATTCAATTAAATTTCAAGATTTTCACTGATTAAACAAACACACTAATATTCCACTATTTTGTTCCAATTATTGAGGTATCTATACAGCTCAGATTTCAACTTGGAAAGTCTTAACAACAATCGTCGAAGACTTCTCAACTTCCAAATCGAACTACTACTTCTTTTAAAACACAGAATACTTTCCACTAAATTATCTCTTACATCCAACTTCACGTCAAATCGAGTTACGAAATGACAAAC